AATTATTTCAGAATTTTTTAATACCGTATTTTTTCATGTTGATAAAAATAAGAAAATGCAGTACTAAAAAGTCAACGTATCCGACTTTTACACATCAGTGATCTCCACTATTTCATCTTTCCTCGAGCTGCTGATCACTATTACGAATCCCAACATCTCCTACATATTCGTCACAGAAGAGACACAGATTCAAATCCCCGGTAACTGAATGCCTTTTGCATACTTCGCTACTTACAATGTCGGTATAAGAGGTATCAACTCTTACAACCTTTACTCCAATTTAAACTAAATATGACTAATATGTCAATCAAACAAGTAGTGCCATTTTTGCTACATTATGAGACGTGACATTAAGTTAGAGGATGATTTAATTTGTATTAATGAAAAGTATTAATTGTAGAACGTATTTTTACTAAGAAGCCACATGTAATATTTATTGGAGAAATTTTCGGGTAGAACACATTCTGTGTCGAAACGTGAATGCTGTATCGCGTGAGGTTGCATTCGAGGACTGAACTGAGAGTGAATGACGCGAAACAACGTCGTCTAGACTAATCATTTAAAATATCCTAATACATATTCACCGAAGTTTGTCTGTAAAGGAATGTCACACTCTGAGATTCTATATACATAGTTTATGGTTTTCTTATTATTCATACATTCAGTACGTATGAGTAATTTTGGTAGAGAATGAAAGACCTACGCATATTATCTTGCTTTCCTTTGTGAAAAAACTTTTTATATAGACTTTGCAAAATACATACGTTTTGTAACTGTAAATACAGTAGTTAAATACTGTAGTTCCTATTCCATATAAGTTTTATTAATTAGCGTTTTGAATTAAAAATGTATAATATGCCATACTAACATTTCGTTCGCTTGTTCATGATCAATATTACGTTGAATTTTTTGTACGTAGCATTTTAATTAATTGTGAAAGTTTTGTTTAACGCTTTAATGCTTTTAAGTTGCTTTACTTAAACACCTGCTTTATTTCTTTCCTTCCCTTCATTCCTTTGGAAATGTAAAAAATTATCAAATAGTTACGATTCATACGTGACTTATTAGACAATTTTTTACATTTCCTCCTGATGGAAGAAACCACCACCTTCCCGCGGTTTCCGTCGAGCAGTAATATGGACATGAACATTGATTTATTATTTAAGAATGTTTATAAAAGAATGTAACACATCTGTTATTTATTAAGATTGCATGTGCAGTCGTATATGTGTGATTTTGATTTGTAACATATTGAAATGAGTGAAAATGTGTGAAATAGTTCTAACACTTGATTCCTGTCCACGTTCCTGGCCAAGAGTGTGTTCCATATTTACCAAACTTTCAATTTTATAGCGCTTTTTCGTTTATTTTACTGCGTTCTTAAACTACAATTTGAATAAATTTTCAGAAAGGCTAGAGTCAAGAAGAAGGGCATAAGTACCTATGGCTGAAGAAAATTTGAAACTTATTTAAAAAACACAGTAAGAGACTCATTTTGTGTGCGTGGTCCGGGATTAATTTGTAATATACATGAAAATATACGAGTTCTCGCATAATTGCCGAATAAAAATTG